GGTTCACACGATTCTCACAATAAACAGTGATAATTATCCTAAACAGCATTGGCCAATTAGTCTTTGTAAAAGTTTCCATTACAAGGGTTGATTGATTAAATACTCTGTTAACTATTTAATTAATTTAATTATGATTTGTTAACTCTTGTTCGAAAATACAACTTCGCTAGATTTTAAAATTATTTCCTAGTAAACCGTGATGGAAACACTTTAGGATAATATAATTTTGTATACGTTTGTTTCTAGAACAGTTTCCTCGCTGGCATTAATGTTTTCTCGTTTATAGTATTTATCCACTATTATTATTAAGGTACTTATAATATTTGACACAACTGAAATGCAACATTTTTAAAAATGATGATATAAACAGATTTAGTATTATGTTTAAAAGCATTGTGTCTCTGTGAAGAGAAGACTTTATCCTTGTAGTTTCTCCAAAATAGACTTTAGTACAAAAAAATATAATCACAGAAAAAGGATACCATTCGAGAAATTCTGCTTAACAGCGTGGTATAAAATTTCAAAGCCAAGCCCTTATTTACGTTTAGTGCCTTTTTTTTCTGATGTCTAATACACACGAGATGCAGATGTTTTGTTTTGAAAACTGACTTTGTTTCGTATACATCTTACAGTGTCTCAGAATGTTTTGTTGACTAATTTGAAACTTAACCTCGCTTTAGTTCTTCAAGTTTAATTGCAGATTCGTGCGGTAGACAATTGGGATCTTCGTCAACATGCTATCGAACGAAGCTGAGATCCTCTTACACAATAAAGTCTGAGAAGCAAGTTCGAAACTGCTAATTGCGAAACATACCTGAGTTACGAGGTTTTATTTCTGTCCTGAAGCGGAATCTCGTAATATTAGAGCAATTATTTGGTGCTTAGGAAGACCGGCTTAAGTCAAATTTAATTTATATTGATTTAAGCCCGTCTTAAGTAGAACCAAAGAATGTTCCTTCGAGAAGTCGTTAAAGGTTCTGTGTAAACTGTAAAACGTGCGCTGTTTTCTTCTCAGAATTAAGGTATTTTTTTTTTGAATATTTCATTTTAGTCATCACGGTACAGTATTTAAGTAAACTGGCATACAGAACCTTACAAAGCAACGAGATTAAAGACATAAACATTTAAAAATTCAAAACTGGGACCATTTTAAACAAGTATTTAATTGGTAATCGAGTACGAATGTGACAAAGCGCAGGACAGTTATATGGGCCTTTCCATTAACACAACTAATGAAGTCTGTTGAGCTGGGTTCTTTTTGAGAAACTAAGTCATCCAGTTATTTAAGATGTTGTCCGTCTTTTTGGAACACGAAGTTTAATTATCCTATTCACAAAACATAGCGCCAGTGTGCCAGAATAATAAATATCTATACCCTTCCAGACCATGTACCTAATATCAATTTTAATATTATCCTCCCTTCTATTCTTAAGTCTTCCAATTTTGCTCTCCCCTTCAGAGTTTCCAGCCAAAATTATATGGGAATACCTCGACTAATACATCCTTCTTAATTTGATCATCCTAACAATATTTGGTGAAGAATAAGAATCATAAGGTTTATTATTATGCAGTTTTATCCAGTTTCCTATTTCTTCATCCCTCCTGGGCCCAATATTTTTCTCTGTGTCCTGTTCTCAGGCTTAGTCTGTGTTCCTTTTTTCAATATTATGAGAGACCAAATTTCACACCCATTTAAAACAATTATCTTACCCTGAAGTCTGTAAAGCTTATTTAATAAGTATATATTATTCATTTATTATATATTTCTGGTATGTTTCAAAATTATATTTCATTATTTCAATATATTATTTTATTTTCTATTTTATTAATATTCATTTAGTGTTTATATTATTTACATTACAGGCTGATACAAAAACAACAAAAAACGTTCACTCACACTAAAGTCATATTGAGCAAATAATTAACATTTAAAATATTTAAAATATTAAATGATGTTCTTTATCGAAATATGGTCTAATGTAAATCGAATATTTCGATAAAGAACATCATTTAATATTTTAAATATTTTAAATTTTAATTATTGTAATATTTTAATATTTAATAAGAATTTATTGTGATTAGACGGACAAGATTTAAATAATATATATTTATTATATCATAATATGACGCAACTTTACCATCTTACTTAATAAGGAAAACGAGATGTCGTCTCTGTAGGAGTCTGTTCTTACAATTCTGTACCTTTTCCCTACTTGGTCGCGTATGGTTTTCTTGCAGGATTGTACGAAGACCTCAATGCGAGTTTTGAGACTGCATTGGAATTGGTGCAAGCCCTACTTAACTGTGAAACAGAGTCAGGTGATTGCTCGTATACATATTTATTACGAAGTTCCAGATCAAGTTTTGTCGACACTCGATTAACGTTCATAGAAAAGCGTATTGAATAGTGAATATAAATACAGCAAACCAACGTTGCTGCTTGCCTGCTTCTGAACAGAAACATCCATTATCATGCAAATTTATTTCTTGTTAATTTAAATCCCATTACTCAGTCCATATTGTGTAAGGGAGTCACAGTTGATTCGGATTAAGTTTGAACGAAATTAATCCTAACGTGTCACGTACGGAGACCTACAGAGAATAAATGTTAGTTGTGGGACGTAACTACCTATCTCAGTAGGGAACCAAACTATTCTAATTCTTGTTAAACTTACATAGCAATTATATGAAAATCGAAACATTTTCAAATAAGAAGCAGGTAAAATTCTAAAGAAACTCTATTTCAGTTTTATAGTTGGATTTGTGGAAAGTAAAACTTGTGTATTTTATTGATCACTTTTTTAAATCCTTACATTTAACGTTACATAACCAATAAAGTTGAAAAAATTAGAATTTTATGTAGTATAGTACAAATCGCCCTGCAGATGGAGGCAGCAAGGATTTCTGAAACAATGGTAAAATTCTAGCAGACTACACAGCGCAACAGCCCACAGGACATTCATATTTAAAGTTTAAAAATATTCTCTAATAAAACAAGCATCTAAAACAATGGACCCAGTGATCCTAAGGGAAGTAATGTAAATCTTAGATTTAAATTAGAAAGTGTGGTTACAGTTGTCACGTTAAATTGACATTCTATTATTGTCAAGTTTTAAATACACATCTTTTCTTTGAAAATATATCTATGTGTTTTCGTTATAAGAACAAGAGTAGAGATGCATGATTAATACTGATGCCTGACACATACTTTAAACACTATAATTGAACACACTTCGTTACGATGTATATAATTATGAAAAAATTCACTATTTTAAAGAACGTATCAAGTACTTTATTCTACATTTTTAATAGAACACAAATAAAATGTATATTAATATTATACTACGCTGTAGAATAATTTAAATACGAGATTTGAATTCTGGTTCCATCTGTGCTAAACATCCTATATGAGATATATGACAAATGAACCAATCAAAATCAAATGAATGTCATTTTCTGCAAGAATGAGTGACCGTGAGACTATGTTCATATGATAGAGCTCATGTGTCCACTTCACCGCATTTCAATAGCCGTTCATGAAACCGCCAATGCTTTTACAGAATGGTCGCGTATGAGGTACGGTATTTAATGAAATGAGGTCTTTGAGTGCATGGGTAGTTGGACCGTACAGAAAGCCAGTCTTTGCCTGTGGCACTCCAATATACCGCTGTATTCTAATACACGAAATGCGATGTTACTGATGTGGTTATCGAACATTTGTTCAATATTAGCAAAATTTCCATTCTCTGTCTTGGGATTTCCTTAACATCTACTGAAATAATAAAATACTGAAGCCCAGAAGGATGCTGCATTTGAACGTGTAATAATCCCACGTTTTAAGACAACAGAGAAGATTAATTTCCCTCCTTTCGACTTGTGAAATGTTGTAATCTCTCTGTGATATCAGCGATGCATTTGCCAATATATTCACAGATTTGTATACGCCCAGAGTAACATGTCTTAAATACCTACTTATTCGTAAAGCAACAAAGTTTTATTATACTTCATTGACATTTTGGACCACGAAGATAAAATATAATATTTTTAATTTAATTTTCTGTCTCCTAGAAAATACGTTCAAAGATTAGTTGGTTAATGCTGTTCAAAAAATAATCTTTTTATTCTGAGAATCGTACGAAAACAATATGTACATTTCACAAACAAAATACAGAATTATTTTAAGTTAAATCATGCGACGAACATAGTTACTACATACATTCAAGATATATCAGAGTGGCTCAGAATAAACACAAAGCCGTTGTGGATTGTGGTCTTCTGAGCTTTTGACGCTCTGTATATTTGTAGGCGGTTCCGAATAATCGCATAACCTAGATCTTCAGAATAAAGTGAGTACTACAGTAAAGAAGGAGACAGTACTTTACTCCGAAACATTGTTTTCCGCCTACAAGTATTCGTGTCGTGAAAACAAGATTAGAGCTGACACTTTCATCACCCTGAAAACATCGCATTTCACATATGACGCTAATACTGAATTAAAATAATTAAAAATTGCAGATGTAATGTATTTATTGCCATATACACCTTATTCAGGGTTACGATAGAAATCGGTAATGCAGATGGCTCGTCTCTGTTATGATAATTTTTCAGTATTATTATGTTTAGTACTAGAGTATACTTTTTCTCACCAAATTAATGTGCTTATTTTCTTAGAAGGCATAGAACTCGATATAAATACAAATAATTCGCAATTTTTAAAACTTTAAAAGCTAATGGAAAATATATGCTGTAAAAATTAACATCTTTGCATTTTACCCAATCATAATGCATTAGTGGGTTTCATACGATTTTAAGAGTAAACAAGAAAAAATGTGCTTTAAAGTACATGTCAATGTTTCGGAAGAAAATACTGCCTCCATCTTCAAGGTTGAGTTAAGATAAAATGAACTATCTAGTACGGTGTATTTAATTGCAAAATAACATTTAAAAATGTTATGATTTAATTCAGTTAGGATATATCCAGACATTCAGTACTTGTTTTATGACTGACGTAACTTTTTTTCCAGATCCTGGGCTCGCCAAATGAGTTTCACTTTTTATACCGCGCGCTGCCTCACGCGCGCAGTAAGCGAAGTGTCCCTCACACCCGGCTCCTTAAAGTGGACCCTTTGGTAAGTGAAAGATTTCAGTTTTCGCCAATTATGTTATTCTGACCGCTAGTGACAACTCACTCTGTGAGTTCATGGGAAACAATGTCATGGATAAAACTCATACTGAAATTACAGGAGAGTTAAAAGCATGGATGCTGTGAAGGGATGGTCCGTTGACCTTCGTACTCTACAATTATTACGAGATTTGTCAGAATAAATTACAAATCATGCAAAATCCTTGGTATAATATTTTAGAATTTGCTTTGATGAGGGAGGGGGGGAAACCTGAATAATAGGATACGACGTGAATATCAGAATACTGTATTTGAATACTTCCTCAGGAGAATGTTAACTCATAAATAAAAGATTTGCATTTGCTGCATATTCAGTCTTAAATTTTTGTGCAAACAAAACTGATTTCAAAGTAGTATTTTTAAGTATATTCAGTTATATGGAATATATAACGTACTTTAGGCTCCATGTTTTACAATTCTGTCGTGGATACTTCTATATATTGGTATAAAATAAGAATACAACTTTTCCTAAGCTTTTCTTTTGTTGATTTGTCTTCAATGCCTGATGTTTGTCTGTATGTTAAAATGTTCATAAGATAATATTATTGTGGGCACACGTTGTAAATACGCTGTGAATAATGTTATACATTAGTGATAACCCTTTCTTTACTATTATGGAAGAGAATAATAGCAAACATTTGTCTTCTAAATTTTATCTTAATATTTAATGTTTATAGACTACATTTCCTTGCAATTATTTTAACATTATAGAGATAATGGATATTTTAAATGCGCAGATTTTTCTGAATCAATCAGATTCAAACAGAAGTTTTTATTATTTTCCCTCCTCTCCACTTATTTTTGAGATGTGAATGATAGAGTAATGTCGAAATAATTTTTCTCGTTGAAGTTTATCGACATTTCAGATACACGTATTGCCTCCATCACCCCCTCCCATTTCTTTAAGATTCATTTTAACATTATCCTCCAATATTCTCACATATCTCCCACGTGGTTTTCTTCCCTTCGAGTTCTGGGCATGAATGATTCAGAAATGTGCCAGTTATTCTCGTGTACGTCACTAGGAGTTTGCAGAGGAGTAGAATTGTGACTGCATCGTAAATCGGTAATAGTGGCGTCTAATGGCTTCATTAAATAAATCAAGGCTATGTGCATTAGTGGTGATGAAAGAGTCTGTAGGCGTCCATAGCTGGCAGGCGCCAGAGATCGGATCCCTCCTGCGCGGTTAACTGGCTAGAGCTTCCAAGTAATTATAGAGCAATCGGATAAGCAGTAATAGGTGAATAACTGTTTATCTCGATGAGATTTAACGTTTTCACAGCGGAAAATATTAAGATGGCTGTCTTCCGTAATGTTTCACCTATATTCTGGTAGATATTGATCGACGTTTCAGAGGAATTTTCTTCCTCTATCATCAGGACGATTAGGAAATAAAACATGGCTCACCTACATATAAAATAGACATAATTTGAAAGTAGATGTTTATTTAATGAACAGTTTACAATTTTAGTAACGTTATTTATGGCAATATGACCGTACATTTTATAAATATATATCTTTCTGTTAAATATTACGTGTCGGAATTCGAGGTAATTTAATAAAACATTCAATGTTACTAAAATAATCAATAATTAGTGCTGTGTAATTTTAAATCTTAATTATATTTTTCATTGATAGATCTTCAGTCGGTCTTCTGTGCTCAACTGAGTTAATTAGTTGATTAGTAGAGTGTAGTGATAGGCGCCGATAAATTTCTAATTTAAACCTTATTAAGACATTTTTGACGTCATTGCTTTCATGTCGTTTAAGGACACCAAATTTAACCGAGATGTTTGTAGAATTGGCCTACATTTCATAGGAAATTGAAAGGACCTTAGGAAAATATTAATGGCACAGAGGTCAATAAATATGAGTTATTCAAGGCGTGGTCATGACCTGAAATAAAGTCCATTTACAGCCGAGCAGAAAGATGAAAGTATTTTGTGTTTTAATAAGCTACATATCAGACCAAAACACTAGTTAGTTTTTTTCTTCAGAAAATGCTATTTCGCTTTGGAATACGAAAATGCTGTTGAATAAATTAAGCTTTTCAAACTTGAGTGGGTATCTCTTAACACGGTTTTCATAAAAGAAAAACGTGATATATGTAGCACACTCTTTGTAAAGCTCACGAGATATTCTGTGTTACCCAGAAATCTCTTGAAGGTGTTTCGTTTCTGTCGTAAAAGGTAACAGATGTTGCAAACAGCTTATGTTCACACAGAAAAAAGTTATCATTTTTTCAACTAAATGTTGTGTGGATGCAGACAAGGAGAGACATCTCTACTTTTGCGTGTTAGTTTCAAAGCATATCAAAAGTTTTTTTAGAATATACAGACGTACAAACGTCTGTAAAGAAAATTTAAGGACTTTTGAGAAACACCACATCGCGCGGTCTGAGGATTGGACCTTCTGCCGCTTGGTCGCTGGTACCGTGGGTTCGAATCCCACTCAAGCCATGGATGTCTGTGTTGTGCTGTCCTGTGTACAGGTAGAGGCCTTGCGACGGACCGATCCCTCGTCCAAGGATTCCTACCGAATGTCTATAGATCAAGCCAACGAAATATTTGGAACCCGCAGTGCTCAGGCACTTGAAGAACGGGTCGTTTCCAGTGTCCCCAGTATATTTAAGACAGCTTATTTTTCTTCTCAGTCGCCTTACTCTTAAATTACTTTCGTTCACTAGTCGATAAATGTCCTTGTTTTGTCCGAATATAATGTCTGTTATATCTTAGGACATTCTTACTGACTTGCTGCTTAACTAATTAACTAACCAACCAAGCAGCTAAGCAACTAACTATATTCATGGAGCAGAGTACACCTTCATAAACCAATAATCGCTCTACTAGTACAGAATTTTCCTGCCTATTAAGGAACTAAAATTATCTATACCCTGACCATTAGAGTCTACCACTAGTCTATATTCTGAGCTACATTAATCCTGTCTCACCCTCCCTACGCCAATATTATCCTCCGATCTACGCCCTTGTTTACCGAGAGGTCTATTTATTTCAGTTTATCCAACAAAAATGTTGTACGCATTTCGTTTCTTCCTATGCGTGCTGCATGCCCTGAAAATTACACCTTCCTTTATTTTATAATTGTAATAATATTTGTCAAGAATGGAACCCATCTTAAAGCCATTTATTTGGCTTCATAAACATAGGAATGTTGAATTTAATAGGCTTCGTCAGGTACAAATCTTTACCACAGTAGGTAGGGCCTACATTTTACAGTCGGTGGTCTCCCTGGACGTGTATCAAAACCATAATCTTCAACGATAAAGATTGTAATGCCAGAAATGGCATTGCTCATCTGTTATCTCAAGACCATTCACTTTTGTTCGTCTCACTGCCTTCGTATTTCGAAGAAGTAATGCATCCAAAACGAAGAGCATATTACAGATGTTATGAGCTCTTCTATTCAGTAGGGTCATTCAAATGAAGTTAAATTTACAGGACAGAGGAAAATGAAGGCAAAGACCTTACCCCAATAAGGTAACCACCTACCAGCTTGGCCAGATGGCCGTCTATATTGGCTTTCTAAGTTTCTCCCGGTTCCACAGGACATTTCTGGGAAACTACGTTATTATGTTTCTGCCGCGTAATTTCTCAGAGATGATGAGATTACGTTCATCTTATTTGGTCTTCTGATTAAACTTTATGTTACATGGCGTATCCCAGTCCCAGGACCGTGTTGATAAAAATAAGTCTTGTATCGGTTCCAGTATGAACGCCGATAAATTATATTACGGAAAATTCTAGAATTTGATTTAAAAGTGTCTATTTACTTTTTTATGATACAAGCTTCTCGGTTTGCAAACAAGAAATAGAATTAAAAACTAATAACACAAGTTTAAAATTAGCTTTCTTCCAATCAGAAGTGGCTTTGATGCAGTGATATACATGTATATTATTTCCGACGTTGGGACTCTGAGAATGAGGTTTAATCATGGGATGCAAATTTCAGAAATATGAAGTCAGAAAAGTATTATTAAACATTTCTGATGGATGAGACAATTGAGACAGATTTGTGACTCCGATGTTGCCTTACAAATGTCTGCAGCCGAGTACTCTCTTCAAGAATGTGTAGTAAAATTGCGAAATAATTACATACACATACATACATACACACCTACGTACATCCATGGCTATTATTTCGAAAATTAACATTTGCGACCCCATGTTCATAGGAACATTTTTTCTTATTTTTGATCCTCGAACACGCACACGAAATTTGTAAACATACTTCTGACTCACCCTGTATATATACCACAATTTCGAATCGACGGTCGCATGTTATCAAACTGGGCAGAACATTAGATTCTTGTTTAAAAGCAAATAGTGTTCACTCAGAATGAAATATGTTTTATATATTTAAAATACTTTTATATACAAGCAGGCTAAGGCTTCCATCATTAAATTAAAGCATCTTCATATGACACACATTTGCCTATCTGTTATTTATACTTATATATTTGAATTTTTTTTTTTTGTAATATCATTTTCATTTAGTAACAAAATATTGCAAATGGAATTAAATTGTGCATGATAAATATAAAATTTGTATTGTTTGCCCTCTAATTACATTGCAACCTGTATTCAGTTAATCTTCAATGATGTAATTTATAGACTAACAAACAATTACATGATTCCAGGAATATATGACGTCATATTTGCACACAGACGTGCCATGTTTAATGAAAACTAAATTACCATTTCAGCTCCGCAGAATTGTGAATTGGTCATTGGATTCACTTAATTGTACGTAGGGTCCTCACTGAAACACAGTACTGAGATGAATATTTGGACTTAAGAAGAATGAAGTGATAAAAGAATGGACGAAAATGCATATTGAGGAGATTAATAATTTATATTCTTTACTAAGGAAACATTATAAAACCAATATAATCGTTCTATTACCATTCTGTCTTTATTTGTTACTGGA